ATCTATCTATCTATCTATCTATCTATCTATCTATCTATCTATCTATCTATCTATCTAGCAATAGCAGTTAGACTTATATACCGCTTCCTAGAGCTTTCAGCCCTCCTCATTTTATCCACCTGGGAAGGATGGAAGGCTGAGTCAACCTTTGAGCCGGTGAGATTTGAACTGCCGAACTGCAGATAGCAGTCACCTGAAGTGGCCTGCAGTGCTGCACCCTAACCACTGCGCCACCTCGGCTCTTGGTAGTCCGAACCAATAGTCCAAACCAATCCGAACTGGTAGGAACCCACCTCTGCTCCTGTAACACCCAAGACAGATGGGTTTGTTCCCTAGGACCAGGCGTGGGATTCAGCCGGTTCGAACAAGCCAGTAGCTTTGGTGATCAGCTGAGAAGCGAACCGGTTCTCTCCGACAATCAGCTTGGCCCACCCTCACACTTTACTTACCTAGGACCTCTCAGCTGATCCGCGCGGCAGGGCCGTGTTGCTCCCCAAAAGGTGTCGTGGAAGGTACGTTTTGGTAAAAACTCTGCACGCCCGCGCAGCGCAACCTGCTATCACCAAACCGGTTGTTAAACCGGCAGGATGCCACCACTGCTTAGGACTCCTGTGCGGTGGGAGGGATGGTCTTGTGGCTCTTTTGTGGCAGGACAAGGGATGGCCTCTCCCTTCTTGGAGCCAAAAATCCGGAATCCGGTAGCTCCTTTTCCGACGCACCAATGTTATTTTTTGCAAGGACAAAATTCTTTTCTCGTTCCCGAAAACGGTGCTCTGCTCTTCGCAAGGGATTGCGGGTGTCCAAGAGCAGAAATGTTTGGGGGGGTGGGTTGGGGGGACTCCAAATCCCTTTCTTAAACCCCTCCCCCCATTTCTCTCTTTCTTTAAGCCCACCCACCCCCCAGACCCATTTCAGCTTCGCTCTCGGCTCCCATCCCTTCCCTGCAAGGATCCAGCAATTTGGAGAGGCGGCCAGGACGGGGATTGCCACTCCACCGAGTGAGGGGGTTCTGTGGCTGAAGGGAGCCTCCCCTCCCCATCACCATTGCTCCCCCACCCGCCTGCCCACCCACCCACCCAAGTCGCCGGTCCTTTGCAAGGACAGAAGGTGGCTTGGGGGGGGGGGGAACAGCCAACGCACCGCCTGTCACTGCTGATGTTCGTGGAAATTGCTGTATCAATCCATTCGCTTCGCCGAGGGAGGCATCAAATTGGAATTACGCGGGTGGCGCCAGGGGGGCACATGGGGGGGGTGCAGATGGCAGGCAGCTCAGCTGAGCCTTGTCACAAACCCGGCTCTTGAGATCGGCTCACACCTGGACAGAAAATGGGGGGTGGGGGGACAACAGAGGATGACCTGCAGAGAAAAAACCCCATCGGTGGGCTGTTGCTCCCCATGATCCATTCAAGAAATAGGGAGGAGGGGTCTGGTTGATGTCAGCCCCTTGCAGGGCTGGGAGTGAGCCATGGCAGGGGTGGGGTGGGGTCGTAATGCATGCAGAGGCTGCTTTCCTTAGCATAACAGTCCTCCAATATGTGAGGGGCTGCCCCAGAGAGAGAGGGGGGGNCAAACCCCCCCCCCCCACAATCTCCCCATCTCCTTTCGCTGAATCGCTGGCGTCTCTCCAGCCCCCCCCCCCTCTCTCTCGCCGATGGGCGCTGGAAGAATGGCTCTTGTGATGGTGCCAGCAGCAGATGCGAGGGGCGCCGAGCCCACCGCGCCCCCCCTCCCGCTCCCCGCGGGGCCGTCTGGCAGGTGGCACGTGGGGCGATGTGGTGGGGGGAGCCTCTCCCCAAAATAAGCAGAGGGCTTTGGAAACCACCGAAGGGGAAATGGGACCGTCGCTTCTCCCGATTTCCTTCGAGGTTTCTTGCCAGAGGCTGCGTCGCCTCTCCCCATCTCCCTTCTCCCTTTCTCTTTCTGTTCCTTCCTCTCCTCCTTCACTCTCTGTCTCTCCCTTCTCTCTTTCTCTCTCTCTTTCTGTTCCTCCTCTCTGTCTGTGTTTCTGTCTCTCTCTCTGTTTCCCTCTCCCGTCCTCTTTTCCCTCCTCTCCTCCCCCCCTCTCTCTGTCTCTGTTCCCTTCTCTCCTCCTCCTATCTCTCTCCCCTTTTCTCTCTCTTTCTCTCTTTCTGCGCCCCCCCCCCTCTCTCTCTCACACACACACTTTTAATAGTGGGTGTATTTTCTGGGTTGAGTCATCAAGGCTGCCATTCTTCGAGTGGCCCCTAGGGGGAGCGAACAACCTTATTCTCCGCTGCCCTCTGGCGGGCGTCTGGATTGCTGCAGCCCCCGCCTGGCGGTTCTAAAGCCCGCCTCGCTCAGCGGGAGAGAAGCCGCCTTGGACGTCATGGGTTGCGTCGTATTCCGAGCTTGTGGCTTTAAGGCGAGGCCGTCGGTCTCTGCCCGGAGCTTCCTTCTCCGCCAAGGGGCTGCTTTCATCCTTTCCTTTCTTTTTCCCTTCCTTTCCTTCTTCTATCTTCCTTTCCTTTCCTTCTTCTATCTTTCCTTTTCCTTTTTATCTTCCTTTCCACTCCTTCTATCTTTCCTTTTCCTTTTTATCTTCCTTTCCACTCCTTCTATCTTTCCTTTTCCTTTTTATCTTCCCTTCCTCTCCTTCTATCTTTCCTTTTCCTTTTTATCTTCCCTTCCTCTCCTTCTATCTTTCCTTTTCCTTTTTATCTTCCCTTCCTTTCCTTCTTCTATCTTCNTAATATATTATAATTTTTTATATGGAAACTTTATTGATGGGGGATATGCAATAATCACTTAAGGCCTCAACATGTTGTTTTTTTAATGTGGCGATCAAGACTGGATGCAGGAATCCAGAAATATTCTTACATTTGGTTTCTTTCTGATTTCAGGAAGATAGAATCATAGGACTGGAAGGGACCTCAAGAGGTAATCTAGTCCACCCCTATGCTTCTACATTCTTGGTTCTATCTTCTATTCTGAACAGGGAGGAAGGGAAGGTGAAGATTTAATTGTCTTCTCTGCTGGCCTTGCTGAGATGGCTGAGTCTTCAGAGGATGTCTTGACTCTTGATTGGCATCAAAGAGCTGGGCCTCCTTCTTCACTTCCTCTTTCCACAGTGAACGACAAATTTAAAATATAAAAAAAAAACAATCGACTCTGTGGGTTTTGATGCATTCTTCCTCTGTTTTTCTTTCTGCTTCGGGTGAGTTGTGGGCCCTTCTCCCCTCAGCTCAGGAGTTTCCCATCTATTTTCAGACCACGGGGAGGGTTCCCAACGAGAATGGTTCGCTTGCTCCATCCTCCTCTTGCCCCCTCATCAATTTTCTTCTCAGAGTGCCCGCCTTGCCCCAGTGACATCACCCCGGTGGCTCCTCAACCATTGGCCGCAACTCAGCCATGGAGAGGCATCTCAAACACCTCTTTGCCCTGCAAGGTGACCACAATCCTGCAGAGGCCAAGAGAATTGCACAACGTTCAACTCAACATCACCACCAAATCGTAAGTTGGGAGCCTGGGAAGGTTCAGCTGAAATGCACCAAATTTATCAATTTTGACTCTGATTTTTAAAATCTATGCTTTTATTCGGGAGGTTTCTATGGTTTTATTCCATTGTTGCGAACGACCCAGGGCCATGTAGGTGAGATGGAGGGTGCAGAAATGTAACAAATAAGTCATGAATCAAATGGGGGAAGTCTCAGCCTCCCGTTGGTTCAAGATGGGGGTGAAAACTCAGAAGTGGGAAGGAAGCGGAGAGAGCCTCGGTATCGACCTTGGGGTTCATCGAGGCTTGTGTGAATGCTGCTCTTGCCTGAAAGACAAAGTGTGAGGGATGGGAGCTTAACGAAGAGCAATCCAAGATAGAAATAAGGAGAAATTTCCTAACAGGGAGTGCAACGAACCAGTGTGCCACCAGAAGTTGTGGGTTCTCCACCACTGGTGAAGATTTGAAGAAGAGATTGGACAGCCATTTCTTTTAGGCTTTCCTGTCTGAGCAGGGGGTTAGACTAGAAGATCTCCGAGATCCCTTCTGCCTCTGTTATTCTATAATCCCAGATCAATGAATCAGTGGAAGGACTTGCTTCCAGAAGTTGCGGGTGCTTCCATCACTGGAGATTTTCAAGAAGAGATTGGACAACCTTTTGTCCAGAATGGTATAGGGTCTCCTGCTTGAGCAGGGGGCTGGATTAGAAGACCTCCAAGGTCCCTTCCAACTCGGTTGTTTTTTAATTCGGTAATTCTCCCCCTGTGCACGGGGATCCTTCAGAGGAAACTGAGCCACGGAGGAGAAGACGTGTCTCCTGTGCTAAACACCAGCCTCTCTTCGTTTGTAAGACAGCAATGCTTTGAATTTTCAGACCGATCTGAAATGGTCCAGGACAGCCATTTGTCTGAAATGGCTTCAGCAGGGGGTTAGACTAGAAGACCTCCAAGGTCCCTTCCAACTCTTGTTATTCTGGTATTCTGTTATCTCACATATTGGGGTTTATAAATCAAGAGGGATTTGCTAACCACGCTGGGTGAAGGAAAGGGATTAGACGGAAAGGGACACAGTTCACACTGGGTGAGGACAGCTAAAGAAATATGCAGGATATTGCATATTTTAATTTCATTTAATTTATTAGATTTATAGGCCGCCCAATCCCGGAGGTCTCAAACCACAGCTTATCGGTGGGATGAACAGCATATAAATGTCATAAATAAGTAAATTGGAATTATTCTGAGCTGGAAAAGATTTTCAAAGGGATTGGTCTAATAATCCATTTTTTTCTCAACCTTAGCAGCTTTCTGAAGAAGGGTGGACTTCAACTCCCAGAATTCCCCCCTGGGGAATTCTGGGAGTTGAAGT